GTATTTGCTAATAACACCCTATAATCATTTCATCTTCAAACCATTTCATAACATCATAATATTTCATATTTCGTCACAAATTCTCATCTTTAAACACTATCGAAAAACTTCGTATACCAATACATTTTGAAGGTTTTTGATGGTAAAAGCGAGTTAACATTCAGAATGCATTCACTTTAAGTGAACCAGCTGAGTTGTACTTTCGTGTTTGAATACAACATTGACGTTGAATAAAATAATAAAAACAATCAATGATAAATAATGAGAAAAATTTTGAAATGACTGAAAAATTGACAAATAAACAATGAAAGTACTCTTCAAGTACGATGATTTTGAATAAATTTCTAGTACAAAAATTTTGGGGATTTTCAATGACTAGACTTTCCACTTGAATGCATTCAGCACAATTCATTGTTTTTTAAGCTGATGAATCCCACATTTCATTCAGATTATGCGAATTATCAATATAAATGTGTGAATACAGCAACGTTTCAAAATCTTGACACGGGACTGGTCAGGAACTCGAATAGCTTCAACTATTTATCAAATGTTTCAGTGTCCATATCAATGAATTCCCTGGAAATATCTGATACCCAAAACTGCCAGTATATCAATGAACCCCCCCCCCGGCCCTCCTCCACCCTCCAAAAAATATCAATGAATTAAACCCAATTCACAAAATCGTAATGAAAAAACCAACATTTAGGATCGATCGTCTTGAAATCGAACCACGGTCCCTGTCCTACGTGTTTGAGTATTGATCGCGGACGGTCGGATGCAATCGATGCTGCAATCATTATTTCATATTATCAATCATTATTCATATTATCAATTATTCAGAGATTGCCTTAGAGAATGAAAAACAGAGAATTTCTTCACAAGGAGATACGTAAAGAATTCATTTGACAAAGCTATCTGGTATTCAAAAAACCAAAAGTAAGCGCGAGGATAATTTCATTCGCATACTCGACGATAATCATTAACATCTGATGTTTTAGGTGACAACAAAATTGGCTATGACTGTTCACATAATTATCGTTCAACAAACGAATATAACAAGCGAATCGGAGATTCCAGTTCTCATTTTGAACTTCATGTTCACTCAATATAACGATACGGGCTCCAGGACAATAACTGTTTTATGAGAATGGCTATTTTGAAACGAAAACGAAGATGGATCGCCAAATAAACGACTGCAGGTGACATACTTTTGTATGGAGGTCGTGGTCCCACATCGATCGTTGTTGGTTTCACATCCTCATCATCGAGTTCTTTTGGTGGGGTTGGCGGTCGAGGCGCTATGCCACCGAATCTTTCGCTGAATTATAAACGTTTGTTTAAGATATTCCTTTCAATTTCAAAACATTTCATTCGATTTTTACAATACAAATTAAACGCATCAAATTTTGCCCATCCTAAAACCAATGCATGAAGATTTTGAAAAATTTTAACAGTTAATGCCCCCAAAATCGTCACTCATTTGATACAAACAAACAAATTTGAATGCTTACAACTTCTATGGAATTCGAAATTCTCGATAAAGAATCGCCCTGAAAACAATTCTGGAAAATGTTTCAGCTAAGCGTAAAAATGACAGATGATTCAAATTCAAACTTACTCATCTTTCTGTTCGTCATCCAAATACACGAATGAATCATCCTGTTTCGGTTGAGGTGCACTCTATAAAACAATGTTTTTCGCTTGATAAGTTTCTTATTGACAAATGAATTTAAAAAATATATTATTGACAGTTGATGGGTTGATGAATTTTTGATATTCTCCAATGGTAATCTAGTTCATATTGTTTAATTAATTATAAAGATTTCAAACGAAACAAATCATTCGAATTTTATTTACCGGAATTGTGAGTGGACCTTTTCTATCGAACGTTTGCTCATCGGGTGATGCTCCACGCCCGAACACACCACCTGTTTGCAGTTGAATCTTATCTGAGCAAATGTTCATCGATAGTATTCGTTAAGAAAACGGATGATGAGATGATGAAAAATGCCTTCTTCCAATTACTTACACGAAGGAAGATATGGATAAAAATGAAAAAAGCAATGGAA